GGGGGGGGGGGGGTCTCGGGGAAGGAGGGAAGTCAGATCGAGCGACAAGGAAAACGCAAAAGGTAAGTTAAACGCGAAAGATCTACCCCTAGTCAAGATTCACCGAAACGAAAGACCACGGACGTAGCATCCGACGGCGTATTGGAAGTCTGTTAAAAAGTATCCAGATATCGAACGCAAATATCTTCGTTATTATGTTTGCTATCAATGTGAACTTTTTCCATGTCTAATTCTATTACCTTGCTTTATGAGTTTTGTATTTTACTTGTTTCGATATAATTTGAAATGGCAAAGATAATTTTTTTCATTTACGAATGAAAATTAAACGAACAATAATAATATGCGCGATCGATGTGCAATCGAGAGATTTTCAATGATTGTCATATCAGATTTTCGAAATCGTGTACCGTTACATCTCTAATCGCACGCGTGTATTTTAGCTGGTAGACTTTATAGAAATTTGCTTTTTTTAGTTAATCTCTTTTCGAAAATAGCAACGTAATATATGTTATATAATATAGCATATATCCTACTGTATATGCATTGTTTCGAATTTATAATGGACAAATGTTAGTATTTATTGCAAATAAAAATGTTACCAAACTATTATCATAGTTAAATACGGTTTTTAACATTTATTCATTACTTACCTCCTATCTGAATATCCAGAAGAAGGGATACGTGATTCGGGCGGCGGATTGGTTTGTAAAACGATTAGAATTGAAGATTACAAAATAATACAGTAATTTTAATTTGAACAGTGTAATGATTGGACGGTATAAAACAGTACGTAAAGACGTGACGTTATTTTATAAATCTAGTAAGTAATTACCGAAATTCGCAGTGCCCGTTTGTTGAACATTGTTAACAAAAGAGACACTAAGTAAAGTACAAATTTCATACGCGGAATTGTTAGAAACGGCCGAGTTGTCGCTTGTGTCATGAGTGATCAATTAAATTTTTATATAATTAATAGTTTTGCCAGATCAGTACGTTTTAAACTCTGACAAACTCAAGCCTGCCAAATGATAGCGTAAATTCACTGATTTCATAAACCTTCCATATCTTTATCTCACGTTTGCATTTCCGTGCGCATTCCCCAAAAAGAGTATGTCTGAGATAAAAATATTTCTCCAGGATACGGTTAGGCTTGTCATAATTAATGATATCGACCAATGAGAGTGACAATAAAACCGATGTCAATTTTATAAATTCACTTTCCGATTCGAAAGTCAATTTTATATACAAGAAAATCCATTCGGCAGGCTCATAGAAAATTAATATTATTATTAAACTATCCTAATCGATAACTGGTGTCTATATTCGTAAGCACTCTAAAGTAAAATCTAAATTCGAATGCCTTCAATCGATTCAGCAATGGCCACTCAGAGATTTGGATTGGATTGTCATCCTCGTCCACAATAACAATAAAACACGGCATTACGTTCTATAAGACATATTACGATTGGCATTAGTATCCTTGGTCAACGGATATAGATATACAAACGTACCAGCAGTTGGCCGTTTAGCCTGCTGCAGTCACATGTGCATCGCACGAACAACGACTTAACAATACCGAGTCGCAGCTATGCGACCGCTGGTATCGTACTTTCGGGTTAGCAGATACGCAAAGAATTTAAAGAGCTTAAGGAATTTAAGGTAAATAGTCGTCCATTCGACCGATCTGACCAGTTCACGGAACGTTCTACTGAAACGATCTCGGCTTATAACGTTCCTCGGAATCATCGAATGGAGCTTCGGCATTTCTGTGTAAATTGCATTAACCGTAAAAGAAACGAGGATCCTCGCAGCGTAAGAATCAGAGTCGACAGTTTATCCACACAATACGGGATTACCGCGTCGTTCACTTTCCAGAATAATGGGAGCCAATATTGGACGGTGGACCTCTGTGAGGATGCTGATGCTTGTGACCAGGTCCAGAGTATCGACTGCCAGGACGAGAATGGACGATCGCGTAATGATCGCTATTCGTCGATATCGATCTTGTCGAGTTCATAGTCGAACCTCCTGATGCGTATCCTGGCTTTCCGTTCAGGGAATATCTGAAATAATAAATATTACTTCGATAAACGTCATATTGCCAAAATCAGCACGACCACGTTATTTCTTTGATTCATTCAGAAAATCATTTTGGACTTTATCAATTTTCAACTATGACCCCCCTACATATAAAAATTCCAATATTCAAATTCTCGTTCGTTAATAATAGACCCGACCAACGCATCCGTGCTGATTGAATCTACCGTACGATTCCTGCATTTAACTATACGGTTCACTATACACCATAAACTAGTAACGATTCGGTAGATCGGTAAACCGTTATACTATGCACAAATATGCGAGGAGAGTCGGTATAAGGAATTGCGTCCGTCCATGAATTAAACATCGGCACAGCATTGTCCGTTCAGCGGTCAGTATTGTTAACAAACGAAATCGGCATCTCCGTTTTAATTAATGCAATTAAATCACCATAGCGCGCTTCCGCGTCGTTAGCATAGAAATGTGGGTGAAGCACCGGAGGAGCATTTATGGAAACGCGGAAATCGCTTTGTAGTAGAGCCATCCGATTACGCGTCACGTGGACGGTGTAACGTAAATGTATACAAGCATGGGAGTCTCTTGTTATGAAAGGATGTTTATGACGCGCAGCTTCTCCTTTGTTCATCCAGAATTTCTCATTACAGTATCTGCCTACGTATACTACGTTGATATACGTGTACATATACAGTGGACATATCGGCTGATTATATTCGTACCGATGCGAAACCTATTTAAAAACTGTACGTTTGCTCTTACGTGTTCTCCGTTCTTCTCGATCTCTCAGTTCCTATACCCGCCTACGTATTTAACGTAGCGCTGATTTTTCGACATTTTTTGTTTATTTTTTTTTTCATCAAAAGAAACCGCGCATCCAAGTCCCATGTTTCTTGCTTTTTTTTTTCCACTCGGGAGCAGCCTGTAACTGACTGTATCGTATTGTTGTTACTTTCTCGCACCTGCCCGACTCTTGACTTACTTTACGCCGTCGTTGGAATTGCCGTGTAATGTGGAGAATGTAGGTAATGCGAACGACGTACGCTCGAGTATTCTGTGCGCGTATTACGCGGGGAACATGTAAGGCGTATAGTTACGAATCTAGAATAAAAAATGTTGAGACGAATGGCGAAGCTTCTGTTACAGTCGACGAAGGGGGGAGTGAAAGAGAAATAGGGGAGGAAGATAGAACTATGGATGTTACCATTGGATGTGACGTGGGCAGGTTGAAATTTGATGGGTAATTTTATTTATAAAGCTTCGAGCGCGCCTTTATGCCCAGTGCAACTACTGAGGAGCTCTTGACCTCGCACGTGTGTCTGGTATCAGGTGCTGATATCAGTTACAACACCAGAAGGTCGATTCGAGCCAAGTGGGTTGAGGCGGGTCGCTTGTATCATAGCTCTAGGGAAACTGGGTAACTTGATATCGACGGAAAAAGAAAACAGTATCGCCAAAAAATACCGGCCTGTTGGAACAGGGTATAGCGCTTAAAGTGTCGGCTTTGTCTGCGAAAGTTAAATTGGATGGAATTTACGAAACAGCGTATGCGACTTCGATCGACTTGGATCGATATCGGTAACCCTATTTAGTATTGACTGGCTCGCGAGAAACTTTTGACCGTAACTTTTACTGCGGATGCTTAAGGGGATACGTACCGTTGTGACCAGACACGCGAGACCGAGCGTACAGTTTGAATGGATGAAGAGGTTTCATTTGGAATTATTAAATTCCTTCGAACGGTAGTAAAAAAACTTTTTTCAGTCTACCAAGTAACCGTAACTGCAGCAAGTGAGTTGCGATCGACGTAGGGAAAAAGTGTCCGAGACAGCATTGAAAATAACACGGGAAGATGTAATGCCGTCTCAGACGCATTTGATCTGTTCGTGAATACGTTGAAGAATTTGTATGTGAACTTCAATAAAGGTATTGAACGTATATGTAAAATTAATTTCCAGTATGATCTCTTGGAATTGTTATCAATATCGATTGGAATCTTTATCGTAGGCTTAACGCAGTACGTGATGAATCGTTAGTAGAATGATTAAATCATACCTCGACCCGTATTGAGATCCGTGCCAGCTACGATAGGGGTCGTAATCCTCAATGATCGATGGCTCCTTCTCGATGATTTCGGTGCGAGTGCAACTGCAGGACATTGCAGAGCAAAGAAAGATATTGATGATGAGCATGATAAGGAACAGGACACCAAGAGCTATAGCCAGCCATAGAAGCCAAGGTGGATGTACACTCCCATCATCGCACAGGGGCCGATAGGCTGTAAACAAAAGAAAGGAATTTTACACGTTGTCTAAAGATTCATCTTAAAGCACGCACCGATCGGTCTTCTGTCAAAAGTTAAATAAGAACTACACGGGACAGACAAAGAAGAAAGATTTCTTTGTATGCTCAGTGATTTACGAACGACAAGCAGACATTCCGTGTAAAGTGTGTTCGTCCATAATAATTTTTATGCTATCATCGCCAGCAATATTTCGCAAAGCCGGACGTACCTTGTCGAGCATATTTTCAATGAAATTCCCCAGGACTCGGCCCATCCTTGTGAATGAAATTTCCAAAAATCAAGTGACATAATTATAAAAATTTTTATCCAAATAAAACTTTCTCATTAATAGACTTTCTAAAGTTTCGGATAACCAGAAGATATCCTACAGTAAGGTGTGATATAAAAAAAAAATGTAATGTAATACAGCGTTGTATATAACATGCAGAAATCTAAAGGCTAATGTAAAGTATAAACTGAAAATAATAGACGGGCAAGCCTCTTACGAAGTGTGGACACGATATAACGACACGCCGGTACCCGGACTGAATTCGAAATGGCGTATTTGCAATGCACGAATTCCAAATAGCCATTCGAAATTCCGTCGAGCTGAACAGCAGATGCATGTGCGGGTACCATACGTCTGGCCAAAGGCATTGGAGCTTACGCGGATGCTGGAAGAGAGGGGCCCAATGTGACCATTCGAACCAACCGGTACATCAACATGGACCAAGAGGGATCAAAGTGAACCACACCCCGACCGGTTTACATGTACGCGCAAGAGAATCAGTCTCGGCAACAAGAAAGATCCCAAATGAAGATTATCGCTGGTCCATTCTCTTGGTTTAATAGACATTGATACCGTGACTGATTTATGTCACGGAGGTCAGAAGATTAGCCGAGTTATTGCACCTCGCAAAGTCTGGAAGACCTTTTACCATGACACTAACGTGTAATCCAGGTTGTGGCTAATGTAAATATAGTCATTATCTGGACATAGTTTCCAATAAAAAAAAAAAAAAAACCAATTAGATGTATAACTATAAACGTGTTACAGGGGAACTTAATCGTCTGGATGATAGGAACATAAGTGTCACGTGGGTGGTACATCGGATGGACATTTCGCTGTAGACATAAGTAATGGAGGCTACTTCAACCGCCCACCGTCCGAGTCCTGTAAGATCTAGTGGCAAGGAAGAGCGAGGACCATAGAGACGATATCCTTATTTCTGTCAAGTATAGGACTAACTACTTTGCCAGATCATTATTCACGCCGGTCACCTTCCACAAACGAGCCTTTAAATGTCCCTCGACGCCAAAGAGACACGTCGCCATATTTCATGCGTGCGAGTGCGATCGTGCCATTTGAATTTCCCGCACTTTACGCACGCTCGCGCCAGACAGCCAAGAAAGCAGCGTTAGGTGGAAAGATTAAAGGACAGGAAGTAAAGGATAAGAAAAAATTGAAAAAAAAAAAGAAGGAAATACAAATACAGAACGATCGCGCGCTTCTTTCCGTCTGTTTTTTTTTTTTTCTCTACACGAAATGCCGATTACACCGGAGCGTAATTACAATCTGGTCTTATCGTGCGCGCTCGCTTTAGAAATCCGAGGATCGAACGAGATAAGAAGCATCTTTGCAATATAACAGGAGCGAACTGCGGAACGTCCCGTTCGCTAATTAGGTAACATTGCTCATGATTATTCTGGCTAATTAACTTTTACAACACCCTTGTCTCAGAGACTCAACGCACTTTAGTTTTACGTTGGTCATTACTGTTGTTTCTATTACTTTTTTTTTTTTTTTTTTTTTTTTTTTTAAGGGTTGGCACCACACATTCGTATACATATACCATGTCTTTTGAATTTGATGGACTCACTGTTTTTCGTGTGACGTACGTATGCGCGGGCGCATGCGCAGTATCGAATATGGCAAGGATTATTTTACGAGAATTCCCGCAATGCGGTGGGCAGATCGACGCCACTCGCTTACGTTCCTCCACGCAATGCCAATACGAGACCATAAATGCCTGTGGCGAATATTATTTATTGCTTATCCGAACCGCGTTACTTTTATCTGCATGGGACTGAACGTAAAGCGCGCAACAAAGGGTCGTCTCCAGATCCGTAGAAACGTTCTCCGAATCGTTGATCAAGACTGTAGTTGAAATCGCAAGATATATCTAAATATTTTATAAATAATACCTAATCAGGTCGACGTAATTATCTCATAATACTTTTATAATAAATTCAATGCCAAAAAAAAAAATGAAGTTTTGGCATCATACAATAAGTAATGTAATGATTAAATATTTTTTGCAAAAAGAAAAACACTTTTGCGCAAGTGTTTCGCAGATAAAATGTAATCAATGGGATTCTCTTTGTAATCGTGCAGCGAATGGTTCTATCACAATGGCCAATCAGGTTTTTGTATAGGTATGAAAGAAAAAAGAAGTATGAAGAAAAATCATGGCAAGAAAAAATTAGCCAAGAGTGTGTAATAATTAAACGAGGCAGCAACGAATGACGAGGCTCTGGTAGTGCTTTGCAAATAAAATAAATGGCTTCTTCTACTCCCACAGGAAGAGACTTGTCACGCGACAGATCGTTACTACCAGCTGGTAATTAACTTTCACCTTCCACTTCGATGCGCCAAGAATGTCCAGCAAACTCTTCATCCTCGGCAGAAGTTCCTGCATTTTCTCAGCGCACTGCGTCGCGATAAATTCGTAGGATGTCAATGCTTTATTACGTTATTATGCTATGCCACGTTATGTTACGGATGTACGAGTCTGTACCCTCTACTTTCCAAATGTGTCGTTAAAAGCTCGTTACCAAATGGCAATATAACCGTTCGTGGTAACGACAGCGAGCACCAGTTCCTGAACAAATACGGAAATGGTAAATGGAACGGCGCACGGATGTTACATAAATGAAGGATGATAAATTAGCAAGCGATATCTAACGTACAAAAGTAGCCTACCATATTCTGGATGATCGACAAAACTTGACTAAAATATGTTCAACTTTCCAATGACAAAATCATATCTATGAAAAGAAAAAAAGATCCAAGTACGTTCACTGTTTAACTTTATCCGAAAAGCTTCCAAATGTAAAAGTAAATAACGCGTGTAGTAAAATTATTTAAAAAATTATCCTTAGGCATAAGTTGAAACTATAACTATTTTCAATGAACATAACACCAAGGGTATTTCCCTGGGGCTAATTCCCGCGGTATCGAACGCGACAATCGACAGCATTCGTGCTAATTGCGTCACGATTACCACGTTACCACAAGAAGCGTTCGGCGATAGCCAAACGATTGCGAAAAGGCTGATATATTTTCGCATTATTGTGTCAACAGCGGGGCAACTTTCTAAAGCGGATGTAGAAGCGACGTAAACCTACGGGTACCTACCACCATTTGTATAGACCCTTGACAGTCTAAGTAACATATCGATACGTTATATACGCACACGTAAGATATCTCTGCAATACGATGCGTGTATGTGCAATTGAGCATTAGGTACAGTTAGAAAACCAGCGAGTGTATTACAGAGTCAAATGTGACCGAGTGAGTAGGCGGTAACGTCACATCAGTCACTAGGAATAATTAACGTGCCTACAGTGTAACGCGAATAGTTCGTGTTGCCATTAAGCTCATCTCGGATGTATATATGTAATGTATGTATATTATAAATATATACATACAGTAGGTTTACTAGTCTTCATATGCTCGAATTAAAAATAACTGTTGACAAGGATTGCTATTAGAATCTATAGTTAATTAACGGTCTCCAAACGCCATGTCTCGGCATGTCCGCTTGGTATGATCGATTCTGTCGCCTAATCGTTTCCATCGAGACGAAACTACTGGCCTTCGACTACGTTTGCCGGATGGATTTTATCTTAACTTTAACTAGTCCTTAGTACATTAGCATACTCACGGGACTCTGCACCAGGATGAAGGACGAACACGCTGGTACCAGCCAGAAGAATTCCTTCTTCACCTGCAACGTTCTGTCCGGTTGTGGATGCGCCTTTTATACCGGTATCCTCGTCGTCGTCGCATATTGGAACTCCGCAGCTTTCTGTGGGGAAGAACAATTTTTTCTAATAAATCGTATTTTTGTTCTCTTGACTAATGTAAAAAAAAAGAAACGCTTTAAATAGGTGTTAAGTTATATATTGTTTTTGGTTCGAATTTTTCTTGATTTTTAGTTTGCTAATATTGTTATCTTCGTAAGATGCCATATATAAGCCATTCTCACTGTGGCTCTCTATTGAATTTAAGCTGTGCTAAACCGGATGTGGACTAGCTCGCTCGAAATGTACAATGGCAATATCGTAGAACGAGTTTTAGTAAATCCCGATAAACAGAAATTAATGTCTATGGCTGTCTCGCGCGCCTCTTGGTAATGTTATAGGCGAGGTGGTCACGATAAATAAAGTTTTATGGGTAAGCGTTGTCAAGTTTTACGTGCTATCTGTACTATTCTGAATACAATGCTAGGCAGTTGCTAGACCGGTAAAAATATTTCGCGCGCTCCCATCGAGTTTCGAGCTCTTATCCGGGCAGGATCTTTCGTTGAATAAACCGTGACTGACGAGGGCCTATATTCGCAAACTGGTTTCGCATCGAGTCGATGATAAATATTTATTTTATTATGAAAAATCACTCGACCATTTTCTGACACCGTTTTACGGTAAAAAGACAATGACTACTCACCTTTGCACACTGCGATGTCACACTGAAAGTGCACTTGGGGACTGTCAGGCAACTGGAACATTGAAAAGAGTGTTGCATCCGCCTGACCAGTCGTAGGATCGAACACGAATTTCGTCATCATTCGTGCGTTAACAGGACATCTTGAAAAAAAATTTCTTAATATATTTCACCACGCAGAATTAAAAAAATTTATTAACCTTGCATCTTATACGTCCGCCTACGTAACGTTATATCCCTTTTTTTTCTGACTGGTCATTAACTCATAAGGAAGGCAATACCAGTCCCTCAAGGAAAGCAATACAACACAAGGTCACTATTAGTAATAGAAGATGGAACGAAATAACGTGGAAGAGAAAAAAAAAAAGAAACAATTATACCAAATTGATATTAGTATTAATATAATACAAGTGCAATTTTACGAGTCACTGAATCTTCACCCTCTTCCAGTTACACATCACTTGACCTCCATTTTCCTCGTCCTTTTGCAGAACCATAACGAGAGTATTATATTAGCTAATCTTGGAAAGAACATGAACGGTCGGACGTTAACACGGATAGAGCCGCAGCAGGGTCAGGAAGTTCAAAGAGCTTCTTAAGTTTTAGTAGTCTCGTTTTTATATAGTGTTTACGTTAAATGGACTCTTTAAAGTAAAGTTCACCATCTACTTTGAGATAGTAAATTTGGCCGTTAACTATGCCCCTTATTATACCTATACGTAAGTGAATGTGCTATAACCTCGTTTTGTCGATTATAAATACCATACGAAATTTTCAATACTGATTCTATTGACGTTGGACACGTGAACATGATACGCAATTGTCTACACACATATCGCGTGGAAACTGAGAAGAAACTTTCCTGGCTAAGCGATTTGCGGCATGCAAGGCGGGGCCGTAGGAAGCTGCCTTGACATGCATGCATTCAAGCGTGCACGTTCTATCGTACCATTAAAATATCAAATACCATTGCGCCTGCTAACGAATCGCACGTTCCTCGATGTCGAAATACGAACGAGTTTTCAGGCGCAGCGATTCCGGTCCGACGAGTATTTACGTAACATTCGATTATTTCACGTTAACCAACTCAATGGAATTGAATGGAAGATAGATTTTATGAAGTATGTGAAAATTAAGAAATTTTATGTTTTTTTTTTTTTTCTCAAGATAAGATCCTACTATAATATAATTATATGTCATATAACTCACCCTCTGTTATCGATCAATGGGACCTTAGAAATTTTTTCGTTGAACGCAAAACAGGATTTGACCCTTATACCGTACTTTCCTGTAAGCAGACAGAATTTTCTTTTATGGAAATAATAGTTGTATGTTATATACGGATTAACATAATTTCATGAAATTCTTTGGATAATAATAGAATTCATGCTGCAAAGGTAACGTACTGTTACAGCTCATGCTGGAGCTGTGAATCCTGGTACGGTTAGAGGCAAACGGAACTTATAAATATGTTAAGTCGACTTGGCAGTGCTGTATTAATATTATAAAAGGATAAGACATTACAAACCATCTGGCCGTGAGATCTCAGCACGCAAAGTATAGTTGTGACCGTAGATAGCATCCTGTACACGACGCCCATCGTCCAAAAGCCTCAATGATACAAGTGAAGTTTCATTCCTGAAAAGTAAAAATCGTCAATTCCTTCTAGCTCATTCGAAAGTTAAAGATAAGAATAGCATGACTTGATACGTTGATAATAATTATTTACCACGTAATAAATGACATATTTATCAGAGACGGGTTGTATAACTATGTAAATGTGTAATTTGAAAGAAAATTTTTCTCGTATTCCCGCATATAATAATATTTCATGTAATTCACGATTAGCACGTGGCAAGTATCAGCTGTCTCTCGGTTTATGCACCAAGCAACTGGAAAGGTAATTCCCACTGGAAGCGACTCTACGACGCGATGTCGCAAGCTTACTTTACATGAATGAATAAGCAGACGTCGAAGGCTATTCAAGAATCGTTCTGTTTCTTCGATGGGAGATCGTGCTATCGTGTATATGGTAGTAATGGATACGTCGCATTCCCAAGTTATGACTGGTTAATACGCAAATCTTATAGCCAACCTATATAAGGGTACTAACGTTATCATTATAAAAGAAAATATATATAAATTTGACTAGAAGGCAATTGGAATACAACGTTAATAATAACTTAAGAACAGCTATAGACATTTATCATGAACTTGATTATAGTTTCCAAAACGGTTGACAGGACGAATTATTCCAATCAGTCAAGACTTACTTGGCATTCTTGAAACCTGCTTTGCCGCAGGTAATAACGTAAAACTTGTCATCCGCCAGTTCGAGTGTCTTGTGTATCCTGACGGCAATGGGCACCGAACGTTCTTCCGTATTCTGAAAAGCGTATAGGATGTACAGTTGAAATAAAAGTCTAATACACGAGTGGAGATAGTTTTTGTAAGTTGTAATAATTATTGTAAGAATTATAGTGAAAATAGGATTTATCGACATGGATAAGGTTACTTACGTTATTGATAAGTACACCGCAATATTCTGGAGCGCCTTTAGGTGCTAGTAAATTGATATCAAACGTCGCCTGATTAGAACCATTTCCAAAGGTCATACAGGGTGGTGTTCGAAAATCTCTAGCGTGCACAGCACCCACAAAACTTTGATTGACGTTCACGCGGATGGTCATGGTGCCAGCTTTACAAGTCGCCGTCACCGTCGGCTGGAACTCCGTATCCAGCAGCTGACCACTGACCTGGAACTAGCCAAACAAAGCCCCTGGCTATAATTAAATCTGCCATCCGTCCCTGGCGTAACGTTTTACTACGTCGTGCAGCCAAGTTCTAATTGCGAATCGTTCCATCGTCATCCGTTTACGTAATTATGCTCGATTTTATGCTCAGTATATGGAAATACCTATCATGCATATATCACTAGATACAAAAGCCCGGATGAGTAGTGCACGAGACACAAGCTTAATGTGTGGAACGTACAATATAGAAAATCACGTATCACAAAATACACGAAAAAAAATAATAATAAAAAAGAATTGTCTCGGCAATGAACATATAGAATACATCTATGCGTGGGATTTCTCGAAGATATCCAGTCTCCACGAATCAAGCCAGGACATATTTGGCTACCTGTACGTAAGCACGGCGGATCCGTAGGTCGCTGAAAGTTTCGTAGGCGCTTATTTGAAATTCTTTAAAGTAAGGGTGTTTCTCCAGTTGTTGGATCCGGATTCTCTCTAGTACATCTATACCTGGTCATAAATTCACGTTCGTCTTGGAGAACGACGCAGTCAATTCGAAAGTGACACGTTATTACTCAAACGTTGAACGTGCATTAGCATGATAAATCGCAAGGAGGTTATGGACGCCCGTGCGATCAACTAGTGGGAGATCAGAATAGTTGCTCCTGAACTGTATGAAACCTTTATTTCGTTGTGGATACGTGAACGTGTATACTACAGTGTCTATACACGTATCTACAGATGACTTGTATCGTGTTAGCTTCCCAGTTAACAAAGAGTAGAATTTATTGCTATAGATTTTGTAAGGTTAGGTATCGCTCAGTAGCGTGTAAATGCTCGTCTTCTTCTCGAGATTAACATCGCACGTCGATAGAGTCAATAATACGATGGTGACGAAATCTAGGTAAATATCCATGAGATTTCTTTTTCGGTCGAAAGGGTCAACACACGCAGTGAATTGCGTAAAAATGACTGTGACCGAACTCGGTGGGTATCGGACGATCTTTGCGCACCTCGACTAAATCGAACCGGTTCGACCAGTCGGCTGTACTCGATTTCGATTACCAAATCGATATACGTACGACTACCGTGCGTTGCAATAATTGAGCTAGTTTTTCTTGCGAATTTCACCGAGTGCGACTCCCATCGAATCATCCGAATCGTTCGGAACGATGATGCGCATCCACGCCTTTTTGTCCGGCTAATAATGACGTACCCATTGATGTGCTCATTAATCGAATCACTCGATAGATCTCACCGGTATACGTATGGTACGTGTGTGGTATTAATTTTTAATTTTTAAAAAAATTTTCTCTAGTCTTTCCCTACAATCAGACAACACTGTACGACTGCATTGGCTATCTTCCGTCGCCTCGTTAAGCTTCCTTTGAGGTTAACTAAGCAAGGACTGGTCCCAGTCTTGTAGCTGTCATCCCACGCCAACTTTCAGTTTCAGACGGCCAACCCACTTCTTATCCTTGGTCATTGATTGAGAATGTTTTACGGCAGCTAGCAGCCAGCAGGGCCGCCGTACGAGTTCCTACGAAAATGCCCGAGTAGTTTGCCGAGGTGTTTTGTTAGCCGTCTGCGAGCCCAGACGCACTAAGCGCCTCTCATTCCGCGGAAAGAGCCGAATCGGACCAATTGGCTGGTGAAGAATGAAAGAGACGAGAACCTGGGGCACCGTCCGTCTTGTCGATAGCCAATGTTCTAGGAACCCGTCCAATTCATGGGACAGTCGGCTGCAGAAGACAGGTCGCCGTTTTTACCCCATACCATCTCTATACGATAATCGTTTAGGACTTGGAAACTGACACGAGGGTTGATGACGGAGAAGAGGGTCCTGGATGATATTAAAAATCCTAAATTACCTTTCTTTCTCATCAGTCGTCTCTGCCAGAGTCTCAATTGGCAAAATAAGCAAGGAGGTACGTTTCTTGTTGTTTTAAGTATACCTGCGGAGAGTAGGGATGGTCCTGGTGTATATTCAGCAGCAGTCTTTGAATATGCGTATAGTGGCGACGTGAGATCCTGAGGTAGAACGTGTGGGCTTGTACCGTGCAGTGCTTGCCCAAATGCGTATAGTATATACGTATAGTATGTATGTTTCGGAGACATATATTGGCACGTGCTAGTGCAATAAGTGCAAAAGGTAGATCCTCCGCTCACCCTCGGCGCACCATGCTCTTACATGGTCATCTGGCACTGCGCCTTTGTGACTTAAGATTACTTTGCGTTTAACGCTGACGACTGCAAATTGCTCGATGCAAACGAGCTGCAGTTACTCCCTTATGAGCGAATTCCATGTACGAAATTATTGTGTGTTATGAAGTCCGGTATGTGAGAAGGATCCATCTGTTCTGGTATTTGCAATACTAAATGGAATGTGCTGAGAAAATTTTAATTTATTGTAGATGCTATAAAGCGAATCGAGAAAAATGTCTGTACTTAAAAACGATTTCACTTATCCTGCCGTTTTGAAATTATCATTAATTTCGTTTTGAAAAAATTAAATTACAGACGTTTATACCGAACGATTTTTCCCGTTAATTGCACAGCTGCTCGAAGCGAAAGTGAATTTCATTTGGATATCGTAAATCTTCAGATATGTTTTCTATACGTTCGTGTATCTGTATACAACATGCTTTCCAAGAACACGTGAGTCGGTAACAACGTAAAAGTGAATGCAACGAAACGTATCTTTTTTTTTTGCGATGCAGTGCAACCACGTATGGACGCCAGTGAGCAGCAATCAGCCAAGACATAACTTTCAAAACTCCTTTTGGCCAAACTGGTTTTACTTTATTCGTTCTCGCGGTGCATCGTACGATACTTTTATTCCCGATATCCCACGCCTTTTGCCATATCTACGTACATCGGACATATTGATTACAACGAATTGCCAACTTGTACCATAGGTATAGTTCAAAAAAATATACATAATAGGAACCCAAGTTACATGTTTCACTGTGGACAGATGTACCCTAGATCCTATATTAATATATATATATATATATCTCACAATCTCATTACTCATTGGCCCTTAAATAAAAAATAATTGTATATCAATCGCAAAATGCTTCGGTTGTTTCTTATTAATTCACGGAATGCGCCGCAGGAGGATAAGACTTCATTGGGAATGCATTCCCGACGAAGGAAGTATTGCCTGCCGGTGCATATTCGACAAAGAGCAGTTTCGCCGGTATCGAAGAGCAAAAAGAGTAAAGAAAGAAAAAGTGAAGAAAAAATAATGGAATGAAAGTGGCTAGACTGAGAACATCGGACAGGCGAGGGTCAACAACACGCATTTCAGGTTCGGCATCAGCCTGGGCCTTACAAAGACCGTGCCGCAAGATAATTCGGGACCCGTTGGGCCCTCTGGCTATCGATACTTTCTCAAAGCGCGTGATTTTACAGACCGCTCGTATGTGACCACTTGTGAGAATGCTCATACGAGTAACAGAATTCATAATGCAGGACATTAACGCGCCTCGTAACTCGTCTACGCTTACGTCACTCTCGTTGCTGTTGGTCTCGCAAAGTTAACGCGAGACCTAGTGCGCATGCGCGCAACGATCGTACAATAATCCTAACGAAAAGAAACTCGAGAATTTAAATAAAAAACGAATCTCTGAATTCTACCAATCCTCATATACACTTGTATTTATTCAATACGAATTTCACAAGGAATAAAAATTATTTTATTACGTGAAACAACTGAAATGTGCACCTACGACAATTGAAATGTAAACCTGAGTGTATAGTCAAAAATGGTATATATATTCGACGTGAAATTTTTTTCAAGTTATCCGCAACTTTCTTTTTATCAGAACAAAACTGTAGTTTTTACAATCAAAAGATACCACAACGGGTCCACGACTTCTGAAATGTAATAGGAAGTAAAAAAGGAAAAGGACGAAGAGGAAGAGTTCGTGCGGTGTGTCGGTGTCTTGTAGTTCAGTGAGGTGACAGAGGTGCATTGTTCTAGCGGTACGTGACTTCCTCATGCCTTTACGACTTTACCACACAGCACGCCGATTCGTCTTCAGTCTTTGCGCCGGCAGTCGTTCCATGAACCGTGGATAACGTATGCTTCTGAAAATGACTGTGCCTGCGAGACACGTCACTCGATTACGTATTACGAGCCTTGGCGCAACTATACGCAGACAGGTATTGAAGCCTTTCGCAAAAACGCGACCGCGTTAGACCTACTATTACGCCTACTGTGTATTGTAATTAGAAAAAAATTTTTTGAAAAAAAAAAAAATAGAAGAAATAGCAATTTCAAACGGATTAACAGAAACTCATGTAAATATATTGCAAGAACTCTCGCTCGCTCACTCTATATACATACATATGCCTATAGCATATGCGTCTGGCTTTCACTTTACTATCGTACCGTGTCCATCACCATTTCACACGCAACGCTACCGCAACGGGAAGAGTCTTTGCGTTCTTTAATCTTGCCTTGCTTATCGTACGCATCTTGCGTGCTTACGCGCCCGAGGGTCAGTGCGCGATCCGTGTGCAGAGCACGTCTCTACTTCAGAGCCAAAGAGATACGCACGTCTAAGATTGCCTACGACTCTTTTTTAACTTATCTAATAAGATATCTCCAGAATTCCGCTCGGCCGCTTTGGGGCTTATGGATTTTAGCCGATAGCTAAGACCGTGTCCTGAATTTTTATGAAAATCGTTCCGGTCACGTGGGCACGATTGATAATGGAGAAAAGTTAAATTAAAAAAAAAAAGGGAAATCAAGTTTCTTTGATGAAAGATAAACAGAAACTTTTTCATAAATTTTGAATATCAGTTTTAATTTTCATCTGGGACGTATCTGCATATATTTTCTTACGGTAGAGATAACCATTGAGTTATTTCGAGGTTTCTCGTCTTATTGTCTTCTGTGTGGTCGCCCTCCGGCCTATTGAAACTTTCCCTTGATGACGTAAGGATGCATTCCCTTTTGAAGTAATTATGAGAAAAAAAAGGGATATTCACGCCTACGGCTATTGCTTTAAGATTATCGTAGTGCTTTCGTGGTGGATGCTTATCTAGAGTATATTTCATCGTCATGGTCAATGGCCGAGGTTGACGTTCACTTTCTCCGAGAGGGAATGTGAAAAGGAATTCGGTTTGGATGCGCTCATGTGAAGGATTTAGGTGGCGGGTGCTGTCGATTCGATTATGACTGATCGATGGCGTAATTCATTATTATTTATGAAAATCAATTATCGATTTCTTATCGTGGGATCGAAAGAATCTTTTTCGGTTTCCGTTTATAGTGAAACGTTGAAATTTTCAAATACTACAAATAATACTTTCATTTGCATGTTTAAAGGATCTCGTGAAAAGACATTACAGGTATATTGGGAGTAAAGTACTAGGACAGCTGTTCACCTACACTTTCACTTCGATTCGTTAAAAGAAATTGTCGATCATTAATCGTCATGTCGTCTTTGACCTTTAGTGCACCCATGTTGGATTAAATATATTGATGATTTTTTTATACCATTCTTCGTATCCAATCACGATTTTAGATCAGCTTTCGAATATTTATGAGCATAAGACAAAAAATTGAGATTATCAATTTGTTTATTGGAAATAATAATCAATATTACGAAAATAATGTAATACGTAAATGACGTCATGCAGTCTTATAAATGACAATCAATTTACGAGGTCTTTTATGCCGCATGTATATCTCACGATATACAATGACTCAATGAAGCCGTCGGTATAAAAAAATATACGAGCAACTAAAATTCAATGTGAAAAGTAGAAGGGAATTTGTCTATAGACGCATTATATTCTCATACGTATCCGCCATAGTGTTCTCGTGCATGCGATAGACGACAGTAAACTGTGTAAAATTACTACGATTATGGGAAATGTAGATAGCAGGAAGATGATCGTCTTTACAAGTTCATCTAGACCCCCCAAGGTCGGTAGCCATAATCGATAAACACCCATAAGCAACGACGACGTTTGTACAGCTGGTTATTACACGTCAAAGAATATTCTGACATAACTTTCTTACCCACCATCTGTTCCGTCCCTTGAGACGATTCCGCGTAAATACCGTAACGCGAGAGAAATAAAATCTTCAAAATTCAACAAAAGCGTTAGAAATCATTTTTCACTTTCCTTCGTTACTTCCAACGTGTGCACCACTTTACATGCTTTACAGTGAAAACTAATATGAAATGAATCCTTCCGCTCGATCTGATTCGAACCATAAAAAATCGACTGGCGACTACTACAAATTTATAACTACGTGAACGAGTCGTTCGCCTTAGTTCCTAACTACAGCTAATTGAAAAAGTTTAGGTCATCGAGTTTCTCAGGCTCACGAACTTTTTACCAAAAATTCGGTACGACCACTTCTGGTAGTCCAAATCGACTGAAACGTTCTTAATGTTTCAATTATACTGACAGTATTGACGGAAGTAGAAAAAAAGCCCATCCTCCACCCCGGTACATCCGTTATGGACCTCACAGTCCCACTTCGCCAGTTAAGGGATAGTCATCTTGAGATAAATCGCGACCAGAAACTGAGACAAACTTCGTAATTGAAATTAAATATAAAAACTAAGTGTCTCGTGTTATGAACTTTCTTCTTTGCATTGCCTGTACTATCCACGTTACGATGCATAGCTTTCGATGGTATTCTTATCGTTAGTCCTGTACAAAAAGTTACCCCCGTCACTCTTGCATAGTTACAATCGTTAAACCTGAATAGGTGGCCGGTAACAAGTGATAATAAAAATACCAGGCATAAAGCACTGCTTATCACCAACAGCATGTCAGGGTTACCCAGTTCGCCATTAAGTGCAAATTTTTCTCTGGCATAAGTGCACAAGGTCTGACCCTGCCAAATGGATTCGCGTTTGCTCGAACATTAACACGACGGCTCAGGACTTGTAAGCCATTGGTATATCGTACACAAAGCGTGAAGAGATTTTGCACCAGGTTTGCCCTGTCAATGCCAAGGATTTAAATCATGATCCTCTGAGTGGCTGACTGTCTGACTATTTGACTGACTATTCTTAGCTGCACTATACTGTACCTACTATATTCGCATAGCCACGTATAAGTGCACTCGGTGCTATTGTGCATTCAGGTTCTTGGGAACGTGTAACTTTATAATAGCACGAATCGACTTTACAGTACGTGCAATCTTTGGGATTTTATCGATCGTAACGATATTCGAGATCGTGAACGATAATACTGATAACGAACTTGCGTGGGACTATACCACTTTGTCGGATAATTTTACCGCGGGATTACATTTTTTCATTGCACCTCAACACCTCCATCGAGCTTCAGGCGTGTTTTGTACTTCTTATAATAACGTGAACGATGGTCCTAAAGTTTCTTAGTAAATGCAGTATCTTATAAATAAGATGCGTTCCCTTTCTTAGCGGTGCTCATTGTTCTTTTCTGTATTCAGGTAATTCTGCATTCTTAAACATAATATGGACGCCGCTACTTTACCCTGCTTTGGTTCGATTTTTCAGTTCAATGGTACTCAGTGTTATACAAATGGATCTCCTTTACATGGTAATTAGGTCGTGAATATTATTTTGCTACAGATTCAATTCTTTAACACTGACAAAGGGATATGTAAATATATAAAGGCTTTTCCATGATAACATATTCTATATATATAAAGGACTTGGAAGTAATATATTCTATGGTGTTGTTATACCTCCGTTGTATCGTTTAACATTTCCTTTATACGTATGTTACGTTTTGTATGCTATTCACGTAAAAGTGGTATTTACTTTTTATAATAATACTTTCTCTGTGTATATCGAGCTTGAGAATAAATTTCAAAACGAATCGTCGACGTCTTCAATTCCATACGCATGAGCGTGCATTATAAGCAGCTAACACGAGTACGGATGAGTTTCCGTTTATACGCAGATGCAAACACGTTTTGCTGAAAACACAGTGATGCATGGTTCCTAGTAGTAGCGTCACGTTGGAATTTCCTGTCGTTGGGTAATGCTGCGATATTCTCTACTGTCATTCGTTACGGCTAGACAAATTCTACCAAGCGTTCGCCGAAGCTTTATAAAATTCTGCTGCCACTTAATCACCACAGTTAAGCATTTAAGCAAAGCCGTACAACTAAGTATTGTCGAAAACCAAAAATTTTGTTTCGTAAAACATAAATTAGCCATTGCTGCTACGAATGAAATTTTGTAATCACAATGGTATTCGACTTTTATAATGACGTCATTTATACTTCCTATATATCAATAATATATTCATTTATTTCAATCGCATAAAATATTTATTATATCCATTAATGATTATACAATTTAGCATATATAGTATTGAAAACGTGACGTCATCGGCCAGCAGATATGAATCGAGTGACGCTACTACTTTTTGAATTTCGTAACACTGCGAAAGTATAAGTGGGTTTAAAAAAGTCTAAATATATATATGCATGCAATTATTATGTGACATGGCGTAGGTAGATGCCGTGTAGGTTGGCTTATCTATGACAGGGTCGTTTTCCTTAAAATGGCTATAGTTGCTTCATTACGTGTCAATGATACCATAGCAGACAATGGTGGTTCGTGTGGTATTCAGTGGGCGTGTGCTCCTGTGCTCTTTCATTTACCCAACTAACGAGCCGTTATTTGCACCACGATTAACGGTCCTTCAGAAATTCGTCCGTATATTCCAATCTTACATAAATGCTGTTCACGCACCGAAATTCAAGTGTTGAGTAAATATACTTTTTGTTTGTACCAAATAAACGTTAGCCTGACTAGTCAGATCACTCTCAGTCGAAATGAGCATCGGTCGATCGCAGTCGGCGCTGCAACAGGTGTTCAATAGTGGTACGCACGTGGTCCGTTTCCAGCTGATATACATATATATAAATCGATCGTGTTTACATTTAGATAGTGTTCTTGAACCGATCGAATATCTTACGTATATTGTGGCGTTAAAAAATATGATTAATATAAAAAAGTGTCTGTCAATGATAAAAATTTTTTTCGGTATAATAGGTTTGAAATATCTTAATAAAACAATAGGACGTTCTCGTATGCGCAAATGTCAGTGGATTTAGCGAGAATATTCTTTGCAATTAAGAAATAATTGTTTTTAAAATATTCATGTAAATTATCTTAAGAGGTATTCCCACTGGAATTGGCGCACCTTTTACGCTCCTCTTGGACGCTGGAATTCTTGGTAATTTATCAAGGCCTCGTTGCATTGGATCGTTCTGGCAGAAATAGTGATGATACACTTGGAGACCCAGTGACTAATGTAAATTATGACACAAGCTTTATTTGCGGTAGCCCCATTGAGAATTCTTTGTCGATTAATGTATACGTTAAAAAATGCATGCGTAGTATACCACGTGCTGGAATGACAATATTGTCCTGTTTGCAATATATCTTTTGTATGATATTTCAATAAATGGGGGAAAAAATATCCTTCGGTTATGTCGTCCCATACCCTTGACAACATTGAGATACAGACTGATACATATGCATTTCCTATGTCTAACGTGCGAGTATCTTTGTAATTCGACATTCACAGACGGTACTGCGTACTCGTCGCGCATAAATATGTTAATGCATACGTGACAAGGTTGGACTGTATGGGACTTTGAAGATTAAATTGTTACTGGCTAACACTGTGCGATATATGAGAAAACAAGTATCGCGTTCAGCTATATATATTTAATTGTTCATTAAATTTTTGTCTAACCTTACCCAAGTTCTATTTTCTAAATAAAACAAAATATAGCTCACCTCGCTGATACCGAGGATTAGCAAAAGCCACCATATCTTCGGCAAGAGGGCAAACGGGGCTTTATAAAAGTTTGTCCTTTTCACTGACATTTTGGAGAACCTCATGGTACCCGATGGTGCTTCCGGAGCACTGTACACCGCGCAGCACTCGTTAAAGTATCGAGTAAGTCGCACGTCACATTTTACAATCTGTCGTCGAAAAAAGCCTTGCCATTTCGAGAGTGTCCGAGTACTTGACGTTACTCGGTGAGAGTTGATCACGTTTGTCTTAGATCTAACGTTTCTTTTTTTTTTTCCAAAAAAAAAGAAGAAAGAACTTTGCGGTGCTTGTCGATTTGAGAAGCCTGACCTTCTGTACGGTTTACAGCGAGGCGGAAACGAGTGTCAGGACTGTACGAAGAGGACTGTTCTTGCTGCGTTGTGGGACACTCGAGTATAACTCCGGTTCTGGTGGGGACTCACGGTACCGTAGCCGCCATTCCTTTTTCATTCGTTCGTGAGCGCAAACCACGCGTTAATATCTCTAGGAACCCGAGGACGAGCCTCGTTCTTCACCGGAAGGTAACTTCGTTTATGCGCCGCGAAGCGGCAGCAAGAATCGGCCATGCGCTGTCGGTAATGTAGAGAGCCTTCTTATCAAGCCAGTTCGATGAGTGGTTACTTGAGATTGTACATTGGATAGGGTAGATATCTAATATATCTACTTGCGTACTGACAACGTTAACTCGTCTATTAGAATTGTATGGTACTACTATGGATTATATTGGTATTAGACTCGAGGTGGGATTATCAAGCTTTTCGATAAATTTACGCATTCGTTTTTTATATGGATTATGTTTTAATTGAAGGAAACGAGTACAGAGCTATATTTAGTAGTACGTTGTATATAGACGCATAAAGCTTATAGCTTAAGCTTGAAGCTTTTCTCTGAGTGGTTGTTTACTACTTACAATGTCTTATAGTAAAACAAGATCGCACTCTAAATGCAGATATCCTATCCATTAAATCGGGGACAATGATATTGAATGGATTTTAAGTGATTTCTGTGAAAATAATACAGAAAACGTTTTCGTCCTAATACATAGTAATCAATAAGTTTAGCTGAATTGGTTAGCGCAAGACGCAGTTAGGAAAGTAATAGAATTTTTAAGAGCTTGAACAAACTACGAATATAAGACCGATAAGATGCTCTAAGGTATTGAGTGGTAAACTTTGAGAGCTGAAATGGCCAAACGATTAAAGGCTTTGGGTTTTGAGAAATTTTTAAGCATGTAAAGAGCATTTTGAGCTGTCGAACCTTTCAACCCATGAGTTACCGAGGTATTATCAACCCTTATACAAATGAGAATTGTACTGTCTATAGCGACCTTTCCAAACAGTAAACTATTATTCACCGTATGAATTCTTGACCCGGATTATATCGTCTTCTGTAAAGGGTGACATTTTTTTATTTTACAAAATTGCAAACTCACCACTTACCAGCAATGTTGACGTCAATAAGACTTGCCACCCTCAAAGAATGTCACAAGGGCGCTATAACATCCGTGAACTTTTAAACTTTTGGGGTTAATCCTTAGAAGGGTGAATATAATTATCGGTCTATACTTTCCTTTCTATAGAATTGCCCAAAAGTCATTTTATTTTGATATTAAAAATCTTCAAATGGCTCAAAGTATTTGTCTTCGCTATCTCCATCATATTATTTATTATTCTTTGTTGATAGGGTAGCTTTTTAATATATAAAAAATATATTTATCGTGGATCATTCACATCAAATGCACCACCTGTAGGTAGTTTTACAATAGAAATCATCTTGACAAGCTAACGTGCGTTTGTTGCGAATCACTCTATATATATTTGCTACACTGTTGAAATTATTATACATATATAATAAATAATTAAATATATGTATACATATATATTTCGTTTCAATATATGTTACAGTTAATATTATAATATCGTATTCCATTTAACTTCAACCAATCCAAAGCAATAGGGTAGCAATGACTATAAAGTAAATAATTTTCCATCCAAGTTCCATTAAAAATATTCAGGATAGATTTAAGAGAAAAAAATTAATAAAAAATGAGTATGGATGAGATCCTTTCATAAAAGTACAATACCACCATATAGATATGACAGGAGTAAAGAATGAAATTTGATAGAAATAAAAGTCACATAAAAAAGTTGCTGTATAGTGTTGGCAGAAAAGCATCCCTCTGTATCCTCCTAAGTAAACTCGGAAAAATAAGACAATAAAGTGAATGCAGGATAAAAGAAACGTAAACTAAATCATAGCCGTGAAATAAAATGTCCCATGTAAGTGAGAGAAGTGACAGGGCAAACGGCACTACGGTGGAAATCAATTTGAGGCATATTGTCTGTAACTTGAACCCCTATGTTTCGGGCGAAATGTGCCGTATCAGCCCTTACACACATAGTAGTCCAATCAAATAAGCGTCCCGTTGAGAAAACTTTTCATGCTTGTCAATCTCTACTTTTGAGAAGCGCGTGTGTTTTATTATAACATATACATAATAATATATAGCATTGTAAAAATGATATTAAAAAAAAATATAAATAATATCCGTAAAGTCCATAAAAACCAAAGAATAGCAATGTACCTATCTATAATGTTAACAGAATAGAGAGAGTTTTAATCGTAACAACGAATTCTGATTAAAGTAATAATTTTTTTCAAATTATATTTCCATCCGTTTTATCGCCTAACAGTAGATAGTATGCATAGTCAGACACCGCGTAGACATGACATAACTGAGTCTTATCCTATAATTTTCCGAATCCGAGGGTAAATTATCTTGCTTCATGCGATATGTAAATCCCATTATAAGTAGGTGACTCAGTAGATATTGTAGGTGGGAACAAGATACGTGTCAAGGATAATTTACAACACGCTGATCGTAAGGAAATTCGGTTTTGGTTCGCGTTACGAAAAGCTATAAGTGTAATGGGAATATTACAGCAATGGGAATAGCTAGTTGATACATTACGAAGAGGATGATTCGAGGCGATCGAGTAATTTTATGAAACATGAGAAAGAGAGAGAGAGAGAGACTTTCTTCGACGTAGCCGATCATTATTCACGTTAACGATGAGACGCAATGCTGTAAGTGAATTTGCACTAAGAACTCGAACCGTGGTAAATTAGAATGTAAATAATTCATAACGCGTAAACTTCGCGTCCTCCATGATTCTCCGAGTCACCAACAGACATAAAATTAAATACTAAGATCTTCTATGGAATACGAAATCTTATTTGGAATTGACAATGCCGCGTATGAATAACGATTCGAGCCATGATTCTGTTGACAAGTTGTTCGTTGAATTTTTAGGGAGTTCACTTCTTGTTATCGTATTTCGAGGGTCGAGTACAGGGCGAAAGTCCTTGAAGACTGATTGTATTGAAAAGGAAAAATAAGTGGTTGGAAATTGATTTTTAAGAATGAATTTCGTACTCGTGGTGGATTTCGTTTATGGGGGAATATTTTATATATATTTTTTATCTTAGCCAACCTGACAGTTGAATAACACTATCTGATGGAAGTTCACGTTTTTCCATTTATTTCGTATCCATTTTTTATCCATTTATTTCGTATAACATGTTTAAATACGACTTGTACTCGTGGAGCTTTGGTACGCCTTAAGTGTTTGCCGCTTCTGTGGACGGCGCCAACTTTAAAAGTACCAACTTGTAGAACCAAGTAAGCTCTCGACCGTTTTCCGCTTAGAATCCAATTAGGATGAGCTAAAATGGATCAGGTTACGGCGGAGGGGATAGGAACGAGTTTGAATGTTTTCTACGTGAAGAAAGATACGTCTTTAGTGAGATTGAATAGTGGCTAAGTGAAATTCAATTTTTGCGTACAGACTCAATGGAATACCGAGTACTTTGTTATTCGTAACGTCCTGGATAAATAGAAGATAATGGGGAACTTTTAAGAAAAGTGTGTAGAGCATAGTAGAACGGAGACATAGATTTTTGGGAATTAAATTTTATGTACGGAGAACGTATATTGTGATTATAAATATTTTCAAAAATCATATTCGATATATTAATTCTCCTGGTATTACGCAGTGCATGGTTATTGAACATTTAATTACACATACATATGCATTATGAAAATTAAAGGAAGTGTTTATGCTATATCCAATCGTATTTGCCAGTGAAAACAGGACATGAATAATGGAAGATTATACTTTATACCAATATATAAAATAAGCTTCCACTCTAAAAAGCTTTCGAGATTAGCGCTTCATCCGTCAGCAGAAAGCACAGAAAAGATTTAAAATGAATATCTACCACCGGAAGTAAATAGCAATTAAATTGTCCGATAATTATCATAGTCTCAATTCAACAATCTCTTTCTTATTGCTGTGAAAAATTCTTCTTATAATCATATAAAAGGATCAAGCAAAATATTCCAACTACTTGATGGTAATTTTCACGAGTTCCGTTGAACCGCCTTTGGATTTCCGATGCAGTCAGCTTCCTGTTCATTTTTGATACACGTATTATTACTAACGACCGGTTCTCTGCTTTAGAAATGACTCGAGGACCTTCCTCTGCGTGCTTTGTCCTTATTGGAGGCTATTTTCCAGAAGGGAATGATGGCATCGCCGGAAGTAGAACGCGTTATTTTCAGTTTTTTTGGCAACGTGACGTAGGCAAGGGGGATATACGTTTTACTATAGACAAATCGTGAAGATGATTTAATCGGATGCTGCCCGAGAGAGACTGGCGCAAAAAGGTTTGAGTGCAGTTATAGGTCTTGCCCGGAAATATTTCGACGACAGTGTATATCATACGAAAGGAGCCTGAAATTACTCAATCTCGGCGCCATTATGGTAGTAATTGGTAATACATTTTTATTTTTTAATTATAAATCGAATTCGTACCGTTTAGGGTTGATTCTTACGCAATGTTTATTTCAGATTATTTAATGCTATTCATTGATAATACTTTGTGTGACCTAAACTTCAATCGACACGTCAGTGAGTTTAGTACCCGGAAAGATTTCTAGAAATTGTAAAGCCTTCTCTGAAAACTTGAAGAACTGATCGGTCTACCTCTGACACAATTTTCTCCCGCTCTGGTTTCTTGTTTCCTATTTCGTCACAGGGTTTTCCCTTCTCAAGGTAAATTTGCATTTAAATTCCATTCTAAATTCATCGTATCCAACGTCAGATGCTTGTTCATCCAGAAAGGGTGAAATGTTGGATAAGATATGGTACACAGTACAACACTGAATTTAGTTGATGGTCTTTTTAAGTGCATTTAAATCAAGATACAAAAATTTTATTTTTTCCCATTCGATATACGCGGTACATATGAATATTTCTGGCGATAGTATTTTCTTTTTTATGCTGTCGATTCGTATTTTTATATTATACAGGTATTAGATACAAAAGTGAATTTCATTTGGGATTCAGAGGATATACATAATATGAATAGTTTTTTTTTTTTTTTTTTGAATTTCAATCTATCCCAGCCGTTATGCACGTTTCTTTATTGACTTTGATATTAATGTTTGTCATTAATTATCGATAAATCGATAGACAGTGACGCAAGTCTTGTTTTTAGTTTATTGTACTGAATTTGGCGCATTCTCATTAATTCATGGTGAAGCAAGCGTTTTGCATGAGTAAGAAAACGTAGTAGAAGGTAGAACGACTTAAATTTAGTATGAGGCAGACACGTGTAATAAAAAAATTAATTCTCGTTTATTTCCTCAGGCATAATATTGTACTTTTATTGAACGACTCTTTGTCGTATTTTCATTTTCTGCGTCAACAGGTTTCTTCCTGCGATACGTTATTACGGTACGAGTTTATTAGGACACAATTATTCAGTAATTGATGAAGCGAAGTATCCTGGCTTCTACGATAATTGACTACTGTGCGCCGAATTGTAAATTTGCTAACTGGGCAGATTCGGCGCTTTAATCTTCTACATGTGCGAAAAGCCAGTTACCCTATACGTAAATAGAAATGTATGAAACAACTAATTAAAATTTTGCGATGACTTGAAATATCAAAAATTTTGCATAAACAAAATTATATATATTTACTATTTACGTAATTGCAAAAGAAACGTAAATAAATTGAACGTACGTGGATTTGGCCATACGCGAATATTTTGCATCTGTCAGTATTTATATTTATCTGAAAGAAGTAATAACGCAAAAGTCATATACAAGAAGAGTTCTTTATTTTGTCAGTTTTTGAAAATGAGGAGAATGTTGTATCGCAGTATGAGATAAAAAAAAAAGTAATAAAGGAGAATTTTTGATCCACTGAAAAAAGCTGGATATTTAAATTTTTCAATTTACAGAAGTAACGAGAGCACAGAGACCTGTGTGATACTTGCTGTGTTACAAGCTTTCGCATTGGCTCGCGGTGAAGCTACAAAGAATATTGCTGGGAATAGTCAGCGCGCCAGTGTTGCTACGCTTTTCTCTACTTGTCCTACTAAATGGTTGAATGGATGGCGCTGGTAACTCTCAAGGGCTGAGAAGAGGCTCAACCCTCCTTAGGGAATAGAGGAAGGAACTTTGGAGAACACTCGGATTGAGTGTAGAAAGGTGATACGGGTAAACGCAGCTACTTTCTCACAAGGATAATTCCTTCAGGCAACCTGGATTCCTGCACTTTTGTCTAATCGACTTCACTTTGACATTTCCTGAGTAAAATTAAGGCATGACGCGTCTTTTCATCTCATTTTGTTACGTATAAATATAAGGATTCAGCAAAACCACTTGTACATAATGATACAATTAAAATTTTGACAATATCAGTATTTTTTTTATTATCCTATATGTATATCAGTATTGTATACCATTTTTTTATATTGACGAACCATCAAGTTCTAAGCTCTAGTTCTATAAAACGAATCTTCTTGAATTAGATTCATTAAAGTAAATCCCTCTAGTAGGGTTTATAGTACAGTCGTTATTTACTTAATTACCAATGAATTTTAATATTATGTAATAAAATAGGACTTTGGTATTTATATGGATAGGATACAAAATGCGTATAGATATGTGTTATTGTGTGGGCAACAGAGAAATTTTCGTTTGGATACTACAAAGTTTGTTAACATTTTTGTTGTTGATTTATCAAAATCGTGGTTATGGATCTTTAGAAATATCCTAGAATATTTTGCATTTTCATAGAAAGAAGTAAATAATCGAACTAAATAGTCGTGATTTAAAACCAGTATGACTGTTGGATTTTATTGAAACATTTATCTTTATGGATAATATTTCCGTATTGGCAATTCTTATGTTCTCAACTGCAGCGACTTTTCTTATCACGCTGAGATGTACCTACTGATGTTATACTGATCGATAGTAAAGCCAATAGCAAAGTGCATGGGCACGTTTTTATAAATGCCCACACATGGAACGTATATTATTCTCGTTGAATCAAAGCATTTTATTCTACCGCGTAGTCGTTTGATATTTATTTCAATCCATTGTGTATTCATAATTATTTTTAGCGAGATAAAGGGGACTCCGGCACGTGGTTAATAAGTTATGTAACCTTTGAAATATTTGTATTTAATTAGACACAACGCATAAATCTTTACTTGGGTAGACAAACTTAATTGCACTGTATAACAGACGATTTTTACTACGATATTTTCAAATTGTAAAACAAAGAAATATATATATATTTTTTTTGGAAATTACCCGTAATCATGTAAATATATTTTTTATTTTTCCAACATTTTTATGAGTAAAAACATGAATGAAAATACAAGGTCCATGGTAAAAGCAGATCGTTATATAAAAGTTTTTGTATGATTATCGTTAACGATGCTGTAGACGTCCAAGACATTTTACAAAAGAAATTCACAAAGCTCAAGTAAGGATTAAAGAATAATAGAATCTTAAAAGTAAGTCCTGTAGTGGTGTGTGCCATTTACAGAAAAGTATATTTAAGATACTAGATATTCAATTCCGGAGCAATCGCGACATTCAATATTTCCATAACTGATTTCGACATTTTCCTCGTTACCTCTGAACCGATTTTCTTATTTGACTTTCTTCGTTCCTGGTCCCTTTATCGAGAGCATCGATGCTCTATTTTGAATAACTCAATCCGTACCTGATTTCAGACTGGTTATATTATATTGTTAACGCCAGAATTAAAATTATGTATAATTTTGATATAAATTAAGGGGGAAAAAATCATTTTATATAATAAAATATTAAAGATTTAATGTGATGTGATCACATGAAATCCTACAGCACCTATATTTTTGGAGATGGGGACCATGTCTGACTTTTTATTACAATAACTTAAGGGAAAGAGATTTTTATTGAAATTCGGCTGTAATATCGTATTCCGCGTACGGATTTGTTTGTAGATTTTTTGGCAAAAAAAATGTCAGCGAAATTGAAAAATATGTTTGAGCCATAGGATACGCTTTTATTTCATTTCAAAACATTTTCTGCCATTATTGTTATTTAGTAAATACTAAACAAATAATTCAAAAAGCTTTTACGTTTTTGTTTAATTCCTTTTTTGTCTTTAAAATAAATTGATAGCAATTCATACATATGAAAATATTGTATGTTTATCCTAGTATACATAATGTATTATCTTACTTGGATCATCCGTAAATTAGTAATTCAGTAATAGGAAAATCTCATTATACACGGTCATGCTGTATCTAATTCCAAAAATAATAGTTTCCCGCATTACCTAAATCCACAAAAACCTCTAACTTACCTTTCCCATCGTACGATTAACCACTAGTTGAAATAATAATACCATTTCCAAGTAAGCTCAGACCCATTTACCATCTGACAAATATTCCGCAATAATACGGACACATGTTACAAAATTCAAAGATACATCCAATTGCCGTAAAAGATAAACGATAACAAAATTATGCAATAAAAGAACCATTAAAAAGATATAATTTCACAAAACTGATCATTACAATTCTTAAAAATATGTTTTTGCTAATACAATATAAAAAAAACTAATTGAGTTCCAACGATGCGCTTATCCAACTATAGAATGAAGCTAATCATAATAAATGAAACGATCGGTAAAAGTTTTACGAGGAGAAGTAATAAATATACATATAAACAGGTATATATGCAGTAGTATAATGAGAATTCAAGACACCCTGTATACGTTTCATTGGTTAAAGTCGGATCGTACGTTTAAGAGAATCAAAATCCGCGGTCACAGCCTATACGTTAAGGAAGGCATTAAGGTAGCTATAGTATGTACGGACTATAGCACGCGGAACAATATCAGTAAAGGAGGAAGTGCATATAGGTGGTACCGTGTTAGGGGGTGTCGCCTATTCCGGTAGCGCAGACGCGAATTTATCGATCGTTGGGATCCCGGGCGACACCCTCACCATTCTTGGCCGAGCCTCACTGCTTCACCGGCGAACTAGTGGGTAGTACACACACACGACATAGGTAAGTCGAACTGTACGGACCTCTCTAGTCTCCGAGCGCGTCCACCATCCACGAGAGATATTTGCAGTCGAAAAAATCGGCGCCGATCGGAACGTGCTTGGGAAAATATCGTGATTTCTAGATGCGACCGTAACCCGGATGTAAGAACCGTAGTGGCTGAAGCTAGTGCGCAGGCCGCCACCCTTCGACCACGCAGACGTGGCGCGTACCAGTTTCACGTGATCGCAAGCCTCTACGTTTCCGTCGTGGAAAATTGTTCGTCTTATTTTTTACATCTTGGAAAAGCCTTAAACTCCTGAAAATCACGTCTGAGATTTCACTTTCAAGAGGTCTAACGTGTTTGCGGTTTATCACGTCTTTGAAAGTATCTCGAGTCGATTTCTCGTCCTCGTGCACGAGGACGTTTCCGAGGTAAGAGAAGTGTCGGCCACTGAGGCCTTTCATGACGGCGTTCTTCGTGTCGAGGAACCCGGAAGACTTTCAGTCTTGTTGTGGGTATTTTGGTGATTTTTGAGAAATTTTGCTAAAATCAGTGATCAACTTACTTTTCTGTATTTTTCTTTCCTATTATCTCATCATTGTTTGTTATCAAAAGTAAAGCAGGTTGGTTTAGACTATACTAAATTATTGGGTTTGATAAGCTATGCAAAATTTATTTTACCTATATTTTTTTCATAAATAAAAGTGTTATTAGTCTTTTCATTTTTACTCACATTATTATGTATGGTCAACATCCATTTTTTGATACACAGAGTCTGGGGAAGCTAATAGTACTTGTCATACTTTACATAGATATTGAAAAATTGAAACGCTCATTTGTATCTATACTTTATTCAGAATAGCATGACTGTGACCGGTAATTGCAAAAAAAAAAGATATACGAAAGTACCTACAGATTCTTCTTTTGTTCTGAATCATTTAACCACTTGTAGTATTCATTATATTGGAGTAGCACTACGGATTACAATGGCCATTTTTTGCCCATAGATTTTCTCTAATTCGCATAACGAAAATTGAAAGTTCTGTATATACGAACAAATAAAAATTAACGTCTACGAAAATATATTTTACAAGTGTTATAGGTCTCCTTGGTATCGGCAATAGGATTCATCAAAATTCGTTAAAAATTAACAATAGAACAAAAAACTGTAAATATCTCTCAAAGGATGGCTTAATATAAATATAATTTGGTTAATATAACAAGTTCAATTGTAAATACGACTACGTTGATACATAGTGTTATATGGTTATATGTTGGTTAATAACATCAGTAGCGAAGTATCGAATCAATGTTATTCCCTTTAGTTGTCATAACGATTTCGGTAACATGATTCAATTACGTTGTGGACGAAATGCAGTTGTGACTATAAATTGCATGTAATCGTCATTCTCCAATATCTTTAGTTGCATTTTACTATTTTATCAATAACATGACGTACATTACAGGAGCAATATATTTTTCTCATGTAATTCGAATGTCATAAATAAGTCTAGTATATATATTTGTTTAAACGTAAAAATTATAGGAAAACAAACACATTTTATTGTAAATAACTAACACAGATGATATTTACAATTTTTCATGTCTCCCTCTGTTCAAAAACTGACAAATCTCATTTCTCGACCGGAAATTAACTTTGAGCGATTTCGTTTATTTACTATTTTTCCTGATGCCGGAAGTTTGAAAAGCTGTACGGCATGTCTTGAAAAAGTTTCAAGTTTCGGAAATGAAGTTTAGTTAAATCCAAAGAGCTAGCGTTTGATATGCTCGAAAAACAAATTTTTGGACAAATTTATTTTTTTTATGTCTCTCTGTCGTACAATAAAAAAAAATACATTCAAATGTATAAGTTGAGATCAAAGTATGTCAATTCGTATTGAATCGATGAATTTCTGGTCATTTATTTTTTATTATTATTTTAAGATCAAGTTATCATCGTATTTTGAGTTATGAATACTATGGAGAATATATTGAAAATGTATAAAATGATGGAATCGTATTACCGTTTAGTATAGGTATTGAGAGTATTTCTATCACAGGTAGGGATCAATGCAATACCTCAACGTGATGGAATCGCAATCTCCTACTACCGACTTTCGACGTTTTTATTCTCGATCGAGTAAAAAAAATTGCACCTATAAAAATGGTTATCACTATCAGTGCGCCGTACAGCAGTAGCTGGTTTACGGTGCCTTAAATGGCTGCAACTTCAAAAGCGAATTTCAACATTGAAATATTTATCAATGCACGCGAAAAATTGTAAAATATTAAAGAAATCATTAGAAATATTTTTTCTATGAGAAGAAAGGTTAAAACCGCGAAAAATCTCTTCGTCCCTTATTCGTGTACCAATGAATTCAATGGATCATGACTGGGCCCGAAAATATGAATGAAAAAAAAAACATGTAGTAAATATTTGACAAACTCTTCTTTAAATATCATAATCTAGTATTCTAAGAGTACTGGTTATGATTTTCACAAGTTCATCTCTACAAGATCCATTCAACCCTAAATCCAATCGAAGTGGAAATATAGGTAGAGGACGTGTCCGTGAAGCTGACATTGGCATATCCGTATTAGGTGAATGAGAAATGTCTGCAAAAGGGTCTAAAGGGTCGTAAAAGGAAACTCAAGAGTGGGTCGATGTAACAAATCAAGAGATCTTTATCAGATTTCGAACCCTTAAGGTCACAATTTTCACGCCACGATTCTGATCCTCGTATAAGGCAACCTCAGGTTAGACATAAAAGAAGAATAGCGCGTCTATTATATCGTGATATTATTTACAAGGAAAACATAATAATTTATGTTAAGAATTTTATACCAATATCTTGATTTAAAAGAGTAGTCTACCAAGATTATTTATACGGCAATATTACCTGATATCAAATATATCTCTTGACAATTAAATTTCATTTTTACATATTTTACATATTTTATTACATCAGCTGAGAGCTATACAGTGTCCTAAAACTTAACGTTTCGTTTACACATATCAATTAAATTTACACTATTTTCGCACCACGATATGGATGAATGAATAATTTCGACTTTCGAAAAATAAAATGAGTAAAGAAAATTACTAGACATTCCGAGAAATAAATTGCGAGCGTAGTACAAGTGGTCAGATGCAGTACAGAGTGTAGTAGAAGGCACAAGAAAAAGAGAGATTTAAGTGAGGCTGCTATCGGTCTTTCCGTGACGTGAAGCGTCGAGAATTTCGCATGTATGTAGGTACTCGAAAACCTCGAGTGTAATGGAAACGTTGGAAAGGATATATACTGTATAGGTATACATAAGACAGGGTGGTTACGCCCTGTAACTTCACTATTCTACCCTTAATACGTCAAAGTCACCAGGTACGTGATCTCTGCAGCCGTTTTATTCTGCCACGGTGAAACTCGCTCATTGGATTGTGTATTCACAAATTCTTCTTATCTTGCAAAAGATTGGCATGGACTTTATTCAATAACATTATCTTCTACTCGCTTTGATATCGGATGCCATCGAAAATTCAATTTTTAGATCACATTAGTTTTTTTTTTTAAATTCACTGTTAACACTACTAAGTTGTGGCAAAGCGTGAAAACATGCGTGACTTACTTGACAATTGACGTTGACATAGGGCGTAGAATCATCGTAGGACCATGAAGTTCAGTAGTGCTCAATGGAACATTATGCGGAGGCGAAAACATTTCAATCTTTATTAGTTTTTACATTTTCGGCCTTGGAGCGTTGAATATGCACTAGAATATGTTCAAGTTTCGAAATCATGAACCAGGTGAGCGAAATGGCTGGATTAATGATGCAAAAATATAGAAATATTAAGTATAAATGCTGCTTAATTAAAGACGGAATGAAGAATGAGAATCATAGAGCACGGCCCATGCAGCATGGTTAGTTGTGACGTCACGTAGTACTACTAACGTTCGCTGCGGCAAAAAGTTAAAGTTCTAGTTGAGGAAAATATGCTAGTTGACAGCTGGGTTTATTCGCACCCAAAAATCTTCATATTGGCTTGATGTGAGATTTCGTAGTGATATGCTGTTCTCCTCATGGAAATTTGTCAGTCCCTACAGAGCTCTTCTTTCGATATTCATCTATAGTTTCGTGAAATTGTGTGACAAATGCGACATCACGATTAGTAACCATGACACCTCAACCAGTCGGGCAATATCCTTATTTACTTATATTTCGGTAATTATCGGACTCCGCTCGGACCGCGATTTCATCAGAAGGCTTCAATTGAGTGAAATATATTTTATGATAGTGGTTTCTATGATTCGATTTTTTGGTGCAATGTCCTCGCTTCGAGTCCTTAATCGTGTGAATTACCTACGCGTAGAAAAGTCAGTATGAGTATCCTACGTAATTTACATATAACCTCAAAAGATTCTACTTTTCTTTCCTGCGTCTGCGGCATATTAATATTATTTTACTATTTATGTGTATACCGTAGACTGTATATATGTATATTAGACACCCCTGTATATCTTTATATATGATAATCGGCCAAATTTTATGCTTTAAAGAAACATGTTCAACAGCTCATTTCAAATTACCTCGTTCTGCTTGACAAACGGCTCAGGAAAGATTACTTTTTTTAGTAAATTGCGTGTGAATTTCTCGTCGGCACTGGCTTATACCAAGTCATCCTTAATCTTTGGGGGAGATTTCATACATTTTTTCATTTCATTTTTTTCTGCCTTCTCGGTGAACGCAAATCTGCTGGTTTCATGTTGCTTTTTTGTATCACTTTTCTTTTACAGTGCCATGTGGTACGAGTTAACCTAGTGCTATTAAGGGTAGGGACCTATTCTCCATCGATTGGCCTCCTAGGACTCGGGTTAAAATGCGTTACAAATAGTCGTAGCGGGTGACAGAACAACCTGGCGCGATCTTCGTGTGTCGATATGTCTCTGGTGTTTCCTGCTAAGTTTTTTTTTTATCAATAACACTGTATAAGCATTTTATATTTTATCCCTCCTGAATATAAATTTTTGTATACTATGTATGAATTCAGCAATAATGCGTATTCATTAATATTTCATATACCTAATTTTGTTTGTAGACAAATAGAAATTGAAAAAGAATTATAGCGATGTGTTACAAAAGATATCGAAAACGTTTGACATATCACGCTGTGTATTTAACACATAAGTTATTCTGATACTACTTGTTCGTTTGATTATTTTATTTATAATAAAGAGATATCTATAAAAATTTTCAAAATAATTTGACAATTTAACAAGCTCGTAAATTTTGTTTAATTACGATTTGGCATGAATGATACAAGATAACTAACACTTTACCGAAACATTCGAAACGCTCAGTTAACGGAGAGCATAATAAACACGCTAGAAAATTCTATTAGTAGTTAACAAGGAAAGTAGTGGAAATTCGTTTGAAT